CCCTGACCAAATTCCCCTCCATGCGGCGGGTCCTGAACGAGGTGGGCTCTGAGATCCCCGACATGAACGCCCTCACCCAGGTCCTCAAATTCAAGCTGGGCTTTGCTGATGTGGCTGAGCCCACTCCAGAGATCCTGAAGAACTACATGGATGTGAGTACACCCTCCCCCCCACGAGCAGCTCGGGCTGGGCAGTGTCATTTTTGGGGGTTCCCCCCCCACCCACAGCTTGGGGAGGTGAAGGAGGGAGAGATGTTGATCCTGGAGGAGAGATTCGTGCACCCTCACGGCGTGGTGGGTGGCTGCTGAGAGTTCTTTCATATCATTGCTAAGCTAAGGATACTTCTGCTCATAATTATGCTAATAAACAACCCATTGCCACCCCAGCAGGAGCTTTAGAACTTCTGTGACCTAGTTTCTTTCCCCTTTTTTCACTGGTTAAGGCTCTTAAGTAGGGGCATGGTTGCTCGTGGTCCTTCCTAGCACCTCCTGGCCTGTTTGGGCTCCACTTTCTGCAAGACAAGGGTGTAAGGATCACACTGCACTCCTTGGGGCATAAAAAAGCAAGGGAAGAGGGCTCAGGCTGGGGATGCAGGACCCTTCATCTTCCTCACAGCCTTGAGTGTTGACAGCAGTTGTACCACGACGTTGTCTCTTGTGACCACAACTGGGGCCACCACCCGAGGAAGGGCTCTGCTCCCTTGTCACAGGGGGACCAGCCTGGCCTGCAGTGAGAGATAAGGGACCTCTGGAGCCTTCCCATCCTGCCCAAAAACCTCTCTTGCTGTTGGGATAAAAGGCAAAGCCTCCCTTAGACCACCCTGCAGGGTCCCCACCAGCTCCTAGGACCCCTCAGGGCTCTGTGTGATGTGGAGGGGCTCCAGGAGCAGGGATTAATTTTCAGCCCCAGCAATAATTAGAGAATCACTGGAAGCAAGGGCTGCCTCCCCATTATGGCTAATTGCAATGGATTATTAATTACTCAGCCAGCAACCCTTGCAAACTGAGCACACAGGAGTGAGCAGGTTTGATAATCCTATTTCCTCCCTCCCCCACCTCCTTGAACTAAGTACACAGGGGGGGGTTGGAAAGGCCACAGGCTGACCTGCCTTGCTGGCAGCCTTCTCTCCAGGCCCTGCTGCAGCTCCTTGCCAAACACAACAACTCTTTGCCCCTTTGGGTGGGCTGAGGGGAAAAATTGGGTCCACCCAGGACCTGCCAAGCAGTGCCCACTCATTCTCTCCCCTCTAGGTCCAGCATTGCCCTGGGAACATCTCAGCTCCTCACCTTCTAGCCCCAGCAGAGATGCCCTCACAGGGCAGAGGGGTATCCATCAGATACCTACACTGCAGGAACTTCTCCCAAACTCTTTTTTCCCCACCCCAGGGGCTCCCCAGCACATCCCCAAAGCCCCAGCAGCTTTACCTCCACCCACGATGGGCCGAGCTGCTGCTCCCTGCAACCCACAGCTCCTCTGCAAACCTGCCAGCCCAGCAGCTTCCCAGCCAGTTTCAGCTTTTCAATAATGCAGGTGTTTTGCTTGGCTTTGCTACAGGGAAGAGAGGGGGGGGGGAAAAAATAAGGTGGGAATGGCATGTTGGCCTGCAGACCTCTCCCCTTCCCTTCTGCCCCAGGAGTCCTCCCCCGCAAGCACCCGTCACGCTCCATCCTCCCCAATTCCTCCTTTGCACACCCACTGTGGGTGTGAACACCAAGGGGAGCCTCCCTTCCAGAGCAGGAAGGCTGGGAGCCCATTGCTGCCAAAAAACAAGGGGATGGAAGTGGCTAGATAAGAAGCTGCTCCCTTTTTCAACTCTTCAGAGACTCTTTTTTGGGGGGTCTTTATCCCTCTCAGCTTTTCACCCTCTGCTCATGGCTCTTTTCTCCTTTGCAGGCCCAGTATTATGGTGAGATTGGCATTGGGACCCCTCCCCAGAAGTTCACTGTGGTCTTTGACACGGGCTCCTCCAACCTCTGGGTGCCTTCTGTGCACTGTCACCTCCTGGACATCGCCTGCTGTAAGTGTCAGAGGTGCCAGCCCTGGCCCAGCAGCTCTGCCCTGCCTGCCAAATACCAATCCTGGCATGGCAAGAGGGGAAACTGAGGCATGGAGCAGGGAAGGGCTTGCCAGAGGCTGCTGGAAGGGTCAGAGCTGGAAATAGGATCCCAACCTCCTGTATCCATCCTTCATTACTCTGAGTTGGTTTTTTTTTTTCCCCCTCTTCTCACCCACACAAAAGCCTCAAACCTTCCCCAGCAGCTTGGGCCCTGCAGCTGGGGAGCAGCATCACAAGTTGGGATGTTTCTCCCCCAATTATAGACCTGACACTGCTGCTGCCCTGTTGTGCAAGGCTGCTGGGGAGTTAGAAAAAAAGCCTCTTGCCAGATCTGATACAAACTGTCCTAGTTTCTGTTTTATTGCTGTGTGGAGCATGTGTGTGCACGTTGATGGATTTATCATTAACAAGAGCCAGGTAGGCATGATGAGAATGTCATGGAGACTACAAAGGGGTTTTTTTTGGCTTTCTGCTGTGAACTTCCACAGCTGAAGGGGTCAAACCTGCCTGTGGCCAAATGCCAGCTCCAAGTCACTGCCTGTGCCCCTTCAGCAGAGGGGGGGAAAGCTGTGGAGTCAAATACAAGCAGGAAAGGTGGCCCCACAGTGCTTGGTAGGGCTAGGGAGGAAATCTGGACTCTTGTAGTGCCCAGAGAGGTGACAGACTTCATGTGTGAAATGAGTTTTGGGATGCTGGCAGGGTGGGGAGGCCCAAACCTGGTGTCTCTTGGTGGTTCCTGGTGTGCAGCAAGGAGCTGGTTTCTCCAGGCAGAGGCACACGGGAGGTGCTGGGACCTAAGGGTTTGTCTTGATGAGTATGCAAGGAGCCAGCTCTGCCAGATTGGGATCCAGACAGCCCAGTGGGGGAGGTCCCTGTGCAGCCTCTTGGTTTTGCCAGGGTTTAGCCAGTTTTTTTTCCTAGCTGGGCTAGCAGCTGTGGGGGCTGAGCTGGCCACTGCTCTGCTGCCCAGCTCGTGACTCGGGAGGAATCTGCAGAGGAGGAATCTGCCTGCCCATAAAACCAGGGATAGCTGAGAGCTCACAACCCTCCCGAGGAGGAAAAGCAGCTCAGACTGGGGCAAAGCCCTTTCTCTGCTAGAAAACAACAATCCCATCCCAAAATTTCCATAGTTTTTAGTAAAAGAAACAGATAAATCCCTGAAGTGAAAGGATTCGTGCCCAGAGCTGTGTATTTGAAGCCACCCTGCTTCTTGGTGGCCCAAGAGGGGACATTTTGCTCTGCTGTCTGACACACCAGCTCAGACTGGGGCAAAGCCCTTTCTCTGCTAGAAAACAATGATCCTATCCCAAAATTTCCATAGTTTTAGTAAAAGAAACAGATCAAGGCCTCAAGTGAAAGGATTTGTGCCCAGAGCTGTGTATCCAAAGCCACCCTGCTTCTTGGTACTTTTCGGTTTCCTGTCTCCCCCCCCAGCCACGTTGCCTCTAGGCTTTTAATACCCAGTGGCCAAATCCAATTTGGGAGCCAAATTGGATCTGTCCCCCCCTTAATTCCCCAGCTTTTGGGGGTGTTTTGTTCAGCAGCCCGGGGAGGGCAGACGGTTCGAAGCCACCTTCACGTGGTTGGGTGGGCAGAGAGATGGGTGGGGGGAGGTGGAAGCTTTGGGTGGGGTGAAGCACTGATGTTTTATATCCCCTTTGTCCCCCCCTCTTTGGTTGCAGTGCTGCACCACAAGTATGATGGCTCCAAATCCAGCACCTACGTGGAGAACGGCACCGAGTTCGCCATCCACTACGGGACAGGGAGCCTCTCAGGGTACCTCAGCCAGGACACTGTCACGGTGAGCCACGGCCAGGGGGCAGCACACACTTCACATCCTGGGGTCTGGTTTGAGCCCCTCTGCTCCCAGGAGGAGCTTCAAGGGGTGGGGTGTGGGGAGAGAAGGGCAGCAATGCTTGGGAAGGGTCTAGAGGCCGAGCGTGGGAGCTGGAGGTGCTGAGCCTGGAGCAAAGGAGGCTCAGGGGAGACCTTTTGGGACAACTCCTTGACTGGAGGCTGGGGTCAGGCGGGGGTCTGGCTCTGCTCCCAAGGAACAAGAGATAGGACAAGAGGAAACAGCCTCAAGTTGCCCCTTGGAGCTGAGGAACTGCCCAGGGCTGTGCCAGGCTGCCCAGGGCAGTGGTGGAGTCCCCACCCCTGGAGGGGTTTCCAAGCTGTGGAGATGTGGTGCTGAGGGCCATGGTTTGGTGGTGACCTAGTCCTGGTTGCACACTTGGCCTTGATGATCTTGAAGGTCTCTTCCAACCCAAATGATGCTGTGATTCTAGAACTGCCCCAGCAGAGAGCTCAAAGCTGTTGGATTTCAACAGGCCTCCCTTTTGGAGTGTCCTCCTCATGTTTCTAGGTGCTTCTCTCTCCAAAAAAAAAAGCTGTGTAACCCCTCCAGGGGGTTCCCAGCAGCTTTCAAGGCCCATTTAGAGGCAGTTGGGATGCTGGTGGTTGCTCCCCATCATTTCCTTTCCAGCAAGCAAAGGCTGAGAGCTCTCTGCTGCCAAGGTTGAGCACACCCCAGGTAGAGCTACTGGAGGGAGAAGAGCTTTGCCAGCTCCCAAACTTCAGTGGCCCACGTGCTCCTGGATTATTTGGTCTGGTGGCAGGGCTAAGAGAATGTTTGTTTTTCAAGGGGGGGGTTAGACAAAGCAAAAGTCTGGAATAAGCTCATAAATCTAGGGATTTATTTTAGGGAAGTATTGGCTCACCAATTTCACTGGGATCAAAAGGAAAATAACCACGAGGAGCCCAAGCTGGGAACGGAATAAGCTCATAAATCTAGGGATTTATTTTAGGGAAGTATTGGCTCACCAATTTCACTGGGATCAAAAGGAAAATACCCACGAGGAGCCCAAGCTGGGAACTTCCAGGCCAGCCTGGCAGCAGCAGCTCTTGCCTCTGTGCTGTATTTGGAGGTGCCAGCAGCTCAGGCTGGGTGCAGGACCCTTTTTGGGTGCAGTTTGCAAAATATGGATGGAGCAGGAGGAGAGATCTGGCAAAAAATTGAAGCAAACCCCCAACTGGCCTGTCCTGTGACAACAGGGGCTGGTTTGGGCACTTTCCTGCTTAATTCAGGAGCTGAAGTGAGTCAGAAGGAAAATTGCAGCTTTTTCTTGGTGGTTTTTTTGTTGGTTTATTATTTTTGGGTGGTAATTATCCCCCTAATGCCTGCTTGCTGATGAGCTCTCCACTTCCCAGAGGCTCAGAGGAAGGATTTTGTGCCTGAGCTTGTTTGGGAAGCAGGGATGGCTCTTGGCAGCCAGCACAGCCTCTAGCCTTTGGTTTCTGCTTGGGCAGAAGCAGGAGGAACCTCTTGCCTGGAGCCCAAGGGGTGTCTGCTTGCTGCAGGGAGGAGCTGGAGCTTCTCAGAGGGTCAAGGACCTCAGGTTGTGCTTCCTCTGGTGGACAGGGTGCTGGAGGAAAACTCCCAGTTGGGTGGAGTGTGGCCATAAAGATGGTTGGAAGCAGCCAGAGCAGCTGGTGGTCCCACTGACATCTGAGCAAAAGGGTGCTGCTTGATTGCCTGGTGATCTAGAGCCCCTCAGCCAGCCCTTGGGGATTTTTGGGGAGGGGGATGAGCTCCTGGTGAACATCTCTCCTCCCTGTGAAGCCCTGGAGCACCAACCCTGCTGCTCCCTCTGAAGAGCAGCAGGTTCAGCCACCCTTCTGCTGCTTGGACACCTCTTCCCTGGATCCCAACCCAACCTTGGGATGTCCTCCAAGGCCAGCAGAGGGAACAGCACTGGCCATGGGGCTGGGGAGGGGTCTCCTGGGGGGGTCTCCTGGGGCTGCAGTGCAGCCACACCACGTGGGAGATGTCCTGGAGCCCCTCACCTCTCTCCTGCCTTCACCATCTGCCACTTGCCCTCTTGGCTGAGGCCACTAGCAAGGAGATTAGGGCAAACTGAGGGGTGCTGGGGGGTGGCCACCCCCCAACCATGCTCATTCCAGGGCATGGAGACAAAAGCTCTGTCCCCACTGCTCCTGGATTCCAGCCCTGCTCAGACCCCCCCCTGCCCCAGGGGCCCATTTCTGCCCCTCTCTCAGGCTGTGAACCACCAGGTCAACATCTCACCAACCTTGACCCTGTTCTATCCCTCTGGGACACCTTCCTGGTGGGTGTTTTTTGGAGGAGGAGCCCTGAAGAACTCCCTGAGGTGGCTCCTGGGAGCCCTTGGCCCACGAGAGGGGGGGCTGGCTGGGAGCGGATGCGTCGCCCTGAGCCGTTGGCCCCCACATCCTGCCCTGTGGCTTGCAGCTTGATGTTGCAAGCCTCCATCAACCCTTTTCTAGCCCCAGCCTCTGAAACCATTAAGCCAGAGCTGCCCCTCCCAGCTTTTTTCCCCTGTGGAACCCCGGGGGGGATGTTATTAATTGATAGAGATCGTTATCTCTGCCATCAGGTAGCAGAGGCCAGCTCTGCTCTCCAGCCTGCTTCACTCCAGGGCTCCTAGCCTGAAATTGTCCTAGCACAGATGCCTTTGGAAGCTCAGAAACCACCAGAGCTGAGCTTCAGGAGCCAGCAGAGACACATCCTGCTCCCTGTGAGCAGATTCATCCTGTTTTCTGCCCTCTCCTCCCTGCTGGGGATCTGCCCTTGTGGCGTTCCAGCAGGGAAGGCTGGTTCCTCTTGTGGCTGGCCAGAGGTGACCTTTATTTTCTCTGTCCTCCACTTGCTATTTTCATGCTTCTGGCTCAACCTCTCTCTCCTGGCTGGGTCTTCACCCCCTCCCACCAGAGGTCTCTGCAGGCTGGTGGCTCTTCTGGGAGCTGCAGAGAGATCCCGGGGGTGTTTTTGACGTAGGGGAGATCACAGGGGTCGTTGGCAGAGGGGAGAGAGGGCTTTGTGCTCCCCACCAGGGATGCAGGCAGGATGGCCAGATGGCTTAGAAGGTGCCTGGGGTGGGGAAGAGGATTAAAAGTGCAGCAGGAGAGATTTTCAGGCTGGGAGGAGAGGCTGCAGTAGGTGAAAGGGGAAGAGATGGAGACGAGGGAGGGAAAGGGGGGGCAAAGTGAAAGAGGAGGAGCTGTGAACCAGCTTGGCCAGAGCTGAAAGAGCTGAGGGAGGTGGGCAGAGAGCAAAGAGGGGGGGAGAGGGGGGTCTAATGCCCTTTGGGGGTGCCCCTGTGTGGCCAGACTGAGCTGTGCCCCCCCCTTCCCACAATGAGACTGGCACCGGGGTGTGTGGTTCCTGGGAGAAGGGAGCCGGGGGCCGTGCTGCAGCCTCTGCTCCCTGAGATCCCCTTTCCACCACACCTCCCCTGAGTCCATTTTCTTTCCCATCTGCTTTTCCCCTTCCTTCCCCCTCTCCCCTTTAGCTCGGCGACTTGAAAATCAAGAACCAGATTTTTGGGGAGGCTGTGAAGCAACCGGGCATCACCTTCATCGCCGCCAAGTTCGACGGCATCCTGGGCATGGCCTTCCCCAAAATCTCCGTGGACAAGGTCACCCCTTTCTTTGATAACATCATGGAGCAGAAGCTGATTGATAAAAACATCTTCTCCTTCTACCTGAACAGGTAGAGTTGGGTTTGGTGCCATGGGTTTTGTTTTGGTCTCTCAGGAACATCTCGTGCCCGTTTTATGCCACTGGGGAGGTCGCAGCCAACGTCTCCCTGCTGAAGGATTTTTGACCCAAATCTTTTGTTTCTTGCTTTGAAATAATGAGGAAGGGAAGTAGAAAAGGAACCATTTTACTGATTAAAAAGCTGGGTAGATCGGGCACTGGATTTCTTAACTGCTGAAAGGACAGAGGATGTTCCCAGAGGAAACAGAAGTACAAACAAACAGGGTTGTGCCCGTGAGGTTGCCTGTGTTAGGAGGGGAAACACACAACCCACTCTGGTGCCAAAATCCACAAGCATCTCCCAGGCAAGTGAGCCCCCACACCCACCACCACTCCTGACAGGGCTTGGTGCCCCCTCAGACCCCAGGAAATCCTCCCTGTGGCTCCCAGCACCTTCCCCCCCTAATGCTGCTCCCCCTGGGACACCCCATCAGCTTCCTCAGAGCTCCCTCAGCCTGAAAAGCAGCACGTTGGAAGCAGGGGGGGGCACCAGCCCTCCCCCATCACCAAATTTCTTCCCATCTCAGTCCCCTTGAGGGCTGGGCAGGTGCCTGCTGCTGCAGCAGCCCTGCCCTGCCTGTGACAAGCTGATTTTTGGGGGGGTAGGGATCAGTGCTGAGCTCCCCTTTGCCCTCCTGCTTCTCTACAGCCAGTTTCTCCAGGTATCTGGGTGAAAAGCTGCAGGATGCTGCCAGAAATCTTCCCACTTCCCCCCTCCCAGCCTCTCTTACAATAATTCTAGTGCAGCAGGAGTGCTCTGCCTCCAGTAACCCCAGATTTCAACCCCCCCAGCACCTCAGCAAGTCCTTTAGGGGCACATGGAAGGGATCAGCCTCATCCTACTGATGATTTTTGGGGGGGGGGGGGTTGTGCTTCTTTTCAGAGACCCCACGGCTCAGCCTGGTGGTGAGTTGCTCCTGGGAGGGACAGACCCCAAATATTACAGTGGTGACTTCAGCTGGGTCAATGTCACACGCAAAGCTTACTGGCAGGTCCACATGGATGCGTAAGTTCCCCTCCCCCTTCCACCCTCCTACACCTCTGGGCACCCAACTCCCACCTGGGGCCGGGCTGAGACCCTCCCCAAATCATCTTCAGGGTCTCTTCTTCCCAACTTGGGTGCTGCAGGTGCCTCTTGAAGCAAGGGGGGAAACGCTGCTGCTGCCTCCTCCTCCTCCTCCTTCTCCTTCTCCTTCTCCTCCTCCTCCTCCTTCTCGATGAGGCCCCGAGGGTTAAAACCCAGCTCTGCCCCGCTCAGGAGGAGCAGGATGAGGCCCCAGGAAGCCAGCCCTTGCTTGAAGGGCACTGGCAATCAGCTCTGCTTGTCGGGAGGCAGAGGGAGGAGGAAGAGGGGCTGGGCTTTGAGCCTCGCCGTCTATTCTCAGCTCTCCCACGTGATGGGGACTTCAAAGCGGCCTGCAGAGCAGAGCCTGTCCTTGCCCGGGAGATCCCGCCCCTCCCCTGCTCGGGGCTCGGCTTCTCATCTTCCCTGAGCCCCTCCCTCGCTCGGCAGCACCCCTTTAACCCTTTCCTTCCCTCTGGAGCAGGCTGAAAAGCAGCAGCACCACGAGGCTCCCATTTACCTGGGGGTCTGTGCTGTCGCTCAGCCCTCCAGCAGTACTTCAGAGCAGCATTTCTCATCCTTTTTGGGGCTCTGGCAGCCTTCCCCTGCCCTACCCAAGCTCAGCCACCTTCCTGCTGCTTCCTCCAGCCTTTTCTGGGAGGGTTTCTGAGGTTTCAATCCCCTTTCTGGGCCTCTCTTCCCCAGCGTGGACGTGGCCAACGGGCTGACCCTGTGCAAAGGAGGCTGTGAGGCCATCGTGGACACAGGCACCTCCCTCATCACAGGCCCCAGCAAGGAGGTGAAGGAGCTGCAGACAGCCATTGGTGCCAAACCCCTCATCAAAGGCCAGGTGAGGTCAGGTTGGGGTGGGGGGGACTCCATCCCACCTCCACCCACACCCTGCTGTGCACCCAGAGCCTTCTGGAGACACCCCCCTGGGTTCTGTTCCCAGCCTGGAGAACCCCCTGGCACAGCAGGGACCCCTCCATCTTTTGACACCCCCTCCCCAGGCAGTGTTTGCCCCCCTGCTCATCCTCTCCATGGAGGGCCAGGTCTTGTTGGACTTTGAGGAGGTTTGGGGTCACTTTTGGGAGGTGAAGGAGGAGGGGGGTGAGTTGTAGCTGAGGCCAAGGGTCCAAGTTTAGCTGAGTCCAAAGACATTTTGCTATAAATACATTTCCTGGAGGTGACAACCCTTTCCTGCCAAGATTTTAACCCTTGTAGCTGCTCTCACAAGGTCACCTCTCCTCCCTGAAACCCTGGAGGAAGAGATTCTCTTTCTAAAGACCCTCTAGGAAGGATGCTGTGCTCTGAAACCTCCCAAATCACAGAGCCACGAGCCACTTGGGTGGTTTCTCTGCAGCACTGGTGGCCTCCCCCTGCAGCAACAACTGCCAGAGGTCATGAAACTGCTTTTCTCAGTGCTGTGGGCTCCCTGCCCATGGCTCTGGGCTCTGCTGAGCCCCATTTCCCCCTCCTGGAGAGGAGGAAAAACCCCCCCAGCAGAGCCAAAAGCTGCACCCAGCACCCTTTAAACCCTTAAAACCCTCCAGCCCCTCAGCTCCCAGCCCACTTACCCAGCTCAGACCTCTTCAGCCCCCTGAGATGAGCTGGTTTTGGGGAGGACCACAACAAAACCATGATTTTTTGGGGGGGGAGCTGCCATCTAAAGCCTGTTCTGTTGCTGTTTCAGTATGTGATCCCCTGTGAGAAGGTGTCCTCCCTGCCTGTGGTCACCCTGACCCTTGGGGGGAAGCCCTACCAGCTCACTGGAGAGCAGTATGTCTTCAAGGTAGGTCTGAAGAGCTTGGGCCACCCCCCTGCTTCTCCTCCAGGGGCTGAATTCTGCCTCAGCCCTGACATCAGAATGGGAAAGCAGCAAAAGCAGAGCTGGATCATGGTGCTGGGACACCAGTGGTGGAGCAGAGGGCCCCCAGCCTGGTGTTTCAACCCTCAGAGGTGGTTTGCAAAGCCCATCCTCATGCAGAATTCCAACATCTGCTCTAATTCCAAGCTGCTGGGAGGTCCACAAGCTCACTTGGGGTGTCTTACAGCATCAGGGAGGGTTTGGAGCTGTGGCCCTGGGGTTGGGAGAGGCTCCAGCAGAGCTGGAAGGATGGGAAAGGATCTCTTTGAGTTGAAACTCTCTCTCTCTCTCTCTCTCTCTCTCTCTCTCTTCTCTCCAGGTTTCTGCCCAAGGAGAGACCATCTGCCTGAGTGGCTTTACAGGCCTGGATGTCCCACCCCCTGGAGGCCCACTCTGGATCCTGGGAGATGTTTTCATTGGGCCCTACTACACAGTCTTTGACAGGGATAACGACTCTGTTGGCTTTGCCAAATGTGCCTAAACCCCCCCCCTTGCCTCTGCCACACACACACAGGAGCTGTAGAGAGAGAGAGATTCCCAGGAATAGAAAACCCAGTGAGTGGAAAGGAGGAAAGAACCCCAAAAAAATGGGAGCTAGAGTTAAAATTCCATGGAAAATAATCCTTAGTGCCCCTCCCCCTGGCTGCTTTTCCCCTTCTGGTGAGTCAGTGGTGCTGGAAGGTCTCTAGTTGACCACTCCAGCTGGAGTTAGCCCCTTGCTTTCCTTGCTAGGTCTTCCAGGATTTGTTTTTAAGGATGTTTCTCAGAGCTGAATGAGGCCCCCTCTGATATCTCCCAGCCCTGGTGTCCTTTTGGGAGGGGGGAGGGGGGCAGCTGGCTGGTTTTTAGGGGGGGCTCCAGCCAGTGGGACTCTTTGGGGAGCATGAAGCTAAAAAAGGGGTCAAGTTAGGGTTGATTCTGGCTCCCTGCTGAGCAGACTCACTTGACTACAGGTCCTCTTGAGCTTGAACCTCTCCCAGATCTCCCCAAACCCCAGATCTCCCCAAACCACAGATCTCCCCAAACCACAGATCTCCCCAAACCACAGATCTCCCCAGCTTCATCAGCAGCTAATGAGCTAATAATGGTTCCTGAAGCAGCCAAGTGCTCTGGGAGGTGGGACCTCACTCCTGAAACCCTTCTGGAAGCATCTTGCAGCATCTTGAACTGCCCAAAAATCCAAGAGGCAGCTGGCAGAGTGAAGGATCCTCCTGGGCAGGAAGGGGGGTTGTAGGATCTGCTGTGCTTCCACTGCCCCATCCCAAATTTCAGCTGCCTTTACTGCCCCTGCTGATGCTGCTGGGAGCTCTGCTGGTGCCCACCACGTGTTGGAGATGGAGTGAGGCACAGGAGAGGTGGTAGCTGTGCTTGGGGAGCCCAAACCTGCTCACCTCCCTGGGCTGGTGGCACCAGGGGGGACACTGGTGGTACTGGGAGGATGATACAGGGAGTTTTAAAGCAGTACTGGGAAGTGGGGAGTAGAAGACACTCCACCAGCATGCTGCCTCAGGTCTTGAAGTTAGGGAATGGCAGCAGGTGAGGGGGCAAAAGGCCCAATCCCCCCAAAATTTGCCAATAATCTTGCCCAGCAGTACCCAGGGGGCCAAGGAACTGGCTGGCTAGAGGACAAGTAGCATGTTCCCCCCCAAAACAAAAACCCCCACCACTAGGTCCTCCAAAATCAGCTAGATGTTCAGCACCTCTCCAGTTTCTCCCCAGGGAAGTTCTCAAGAGCTCCTCCAGCTCCTCCCACCTCCTTTCCCAGCTGCAGGATTCCTCCAGCGTGGTGGGATGGAGAAGACCTCTTGGGTGAAGGACCCAGAGCACCCCTAGTTTTGGGGGGTGAGGTGTCTTCTGCTCCCTGTGTCCTGCCCCAGAGCTGAGTTGAGGTTGTCCTCAGGCAGGCAGGGCTCTGGGGAAGGAGCAGAACCCCAAGAGCTGCCCCAGGACAGGCTGGTGGAGCAGCTCATCCTCAGCTTCCCTCAACAGGGCCTCCTCCCCTTGGTCTTTTAGTTGCAATTTTTAAACCCAATTCTAACTGTGGGGGTTGGTTTGGTTGGTTTTTAATCTAATTTGCTGTCATTATTGTCTCATTAGAGGAAAGAGAAAAGACAATACAGTATTTTCCCCCCTCAACCCTCAGACTGGTCTTTCCTTAAGCAGCTGGAGGTGCCCAACTCCTTCTTGGCATCTCCATGACCTGTCCCAGTGCTGGTTGCCCACTTTGGGGGGGGGGAACTTGGGTTCTCCTTTCTCTCTGCTGAGGAAATATTTGGGGAGCCTGTTGCCTCCTTCCATGATGTGACAGTGTCCCCTCCCTGAGGCTGTGCCAGCAGGGCTGCAGGAGCTCCCAATTGTCCCTTGCAGCCCCAGCAGGAGGGAATTTGGGATGTCCTCTGGGCCAACTTCTGCTCCCCTTGGGATGAAGAGTGCTCCAAAGGGAGACTCCAACCTCTAAATCCACCTTAACCCCCCCTGGGCTGGGGGGTTTGTGCTCCCAGAGCCTGGTGCTGAAGAACACGAGTGGGTGTTGGGGTTTTTTCCTCCAAAAAAAAGTAGGAAGGCTCTTTCCCCCTCCCCTGGCTGGGTGATTTCTCCTCCTCCTGCTGGAGAAGCCTCAGCAGAAGGAGGTCCCTGTGTGCCAGGTAGGAGAGAAGAGCTCATCCCCACTCTGAAAGCAGCAGCAGCTCCATGAGCAAGGAGGCAGCAGCCCAGTCCCAGCCCCTCTTCTGAGCAGGGGCAGAGCTTCTCTGCTCCCCCCCCCAGGCCTCTGTGCCCCCAGGATGTCTTCTCCTGCCTTCAAGGAGATGGATTTCACCCCCCAGGGCTGGAAAACCACCCTCAGCAGCCCAAGAGGAGAGCAAGTTGTCTGTTACCCCCCTCCCCACACCCCCTGCACTGGCTTTGCAGAGCCCCGTGCCCATGACAAGGAGATAACAGCTCATTAAATGCCTCATCTGCTGCAAAACCCACGTTTTTTTCACTCCACATCCCACTGGGAATGCTCAGCCCTGACTCAGGGGCTGATTTCAGGGGCATGATCCACCTCTGCTCAAGGCTTGGCCCACACCCACCTGAGGAGAGGGGAAATGAGGCCCCAAAAAGTTTGGACCAGATGATCCTTCAGGTCCTTCCCAACGTGGGATTCTGGGCCTGGCTCAGCAGTTTGTTCCCTTGGGGAACTATTTTTACTCCTCACCAATGACTCAGCACGTTGGTTTGGGGGCTGGTGGCTTCTCCTTTTGCCTCTTTTTTTTTGGATTTCTTTATTTTTAGGTTCCCTTGGGGAAGGAAAAGTGGCAGAAGAGCGCTTGCCAGCTTAGAGGACAGCAGACAGAGAGGAGGGGAGGGGTGGGAAAAAAAAAGGGGGGGGGTTTCCCCCCTCCAAGCCTCAAGCCACCTTATTTTGGGCAGCTTAAGAACCTTCCCTGAGGAATTCTCTAGGGGAAAAGAGCATTCAGGAGGTTCTGGGATTTCTCCTTGGGGGGGGGGGAAAGAAAGCAAGCAAAGCAAGCAGGGGCAGGTCCTGGTGATGGTTTTCCAGAGAGCTGGAGTAGGATTTGAGCAGGAAGACTTTCTCACGGGTCTTAAAAGAGCTGGATTGTGCTGCAGCCCACATGGCTCTAACAGGATTACAGGAGAATGGCTCTGGGGCAGGAAACATCTCTCTGTTCTCCTCCT